AGTATTATCAATATTTAAGTATCACTATAAAAATTGATTATTAAGACAGTATATCAATAAAATTTTCAAATTGAAAATAGCATATGAAATTACTATAATGATGATTTATATCAATAATTATTCCTAATTTGATAATTTATTTGTAGAACCCATTATTAAGTAGGGAGGAATATTATGATTATTAGTAGTACTATTTTTAGATTATTATTTTATAATATTATATTTCTTTATTATTTCTATTATTAATTATAGCATAGCAAGTAGATATAACATTTTTGCCAGATATAACTGATATGCTGGATCAACCTGATTAATTTGATTGACCAGAGCAGTCTAAGCAAACTGAGCAATATGATCAAGCATATCAGACATATTTAACTAAACTGATATATCTTGTTACTTATTTACTTTTTAGTTTCATATATTTCAAACATGTATAAATAGGACAGCTATTTTTCTTAACTGCCCAAGGAATTTTCTAACTTTTTCTAACTTTTTCTAATAAAAACCATCCTGAACTCATAACTAAATCACTGTACCTCTTATCTTGGAAATAAACCTTATCCAATTCTTTCACTTTACCAACACTAGTATATAGGGTTCCGAAAAAATACCAAACTGGTATCAAAATGGTACTGATCTATAGTAAATTTAATATATGGATTGTAAGTATCAAACTAGTATTGAAGTGATATCAAAGTGATATTATTAGGAGTCCTACTAGTATATTATAACTGAAACTATTTTTCTATAAATTAAGTGGTTCTCTGCTATTGTTGTCTGTTGATCTATTTAATTTTAAGGTTTATTAAATAGGTTAACAATGGTAATTTTAAAAGGAATTATTATCATTTTATATAAAAAGTATATAATAATTTATCAATAATTTTATCAATACAATCTAATTAAAAATGAAGTATTGTAACAAACAACTTGAAAAAATTATTTTAATAAAATTGATAATGTAAAGCTTTTCTAGATAAATAAATAAAAATAACAATACATAGTATAAAGATTACAACATTCTATCACTTAAAGTATTTATTGTGGCCATATACGTTTTTTATAATTTATTAGAAAGCATTATTTAAATCCAGATGGTTTTTCACAGAGCCTCTCTGACACTCTCGATCTTTTCGATTCACTGGTTTCCGTAGATTTTGACCTACACGTCGCAATCCCAAGGTCAGAGAAGATTACACATCTAACGAATATGGTCTCAAATAATTTTTGACCTGCACTATAATTCGGCATTAATTCACGGAAAGGGGCATCGTCGTTTTCTCACTGGATTTATCGAAAGATCGGCAATAATTCTGGCCAACACTTTGTGCTTACATTAACGACAACCATTTTTGAGGTTCGCGTATAACAGTAACAAATATTTAAATAATGACCATGGATTTTAGCATGAGAAGAGCACGTGCGCAATCAACCTGTTGTGGACGAATTTAAAAACCAGGAATCGTGAAAGAGTACGCATACTTTAGGAGTTTCACCACGTCCATATAAAAAACGCATGTCACTCGAAACAACGAAAAAAAACATAAGTACATATTTGAAAATGATGATAATATTATTATTAGTTTGTCATGAGTGAATTGTGAAATGTGAGATGAATGAGTCTTTAAAGGGTGATTAGATGTAACAAACAAGGTATGTGCCGAAATTGCGTTATAAAATTCAACATGCTTTTACCCTCTTTGAATTCTCGGATTAAACTTACAATTTCGGTTTCATTCAATTCTATACAATCATTTTTTTTTCTTCTTGAGGCTTCTGTCAGATATCATAATTGACACTAAACCTTTTTTGTTCTGAAACATTCACATTTTTTCTGCAAGGTACAAACAACATTTAACACCTGCAAAGTGGTCCGTCGCATGCATCGGCTGATTTTTTTTTTCTAAACCTTTTGCCGGCATTAACTGATTGATCCTCGTTTTTTTGGAACAGAAAACGTTGTTTGCTTATTACTTATTAATGATCACATATCGATAACCAATTAACGTATACTGAGGTTTCTCTTTTTAATGACAATCATTTTCTGTTTTTTCCATTTCCATAAGTGAGTGCATAAATCAGCTAAAAGATGATATTTTTGTCGTCCGGTGGGCGCAAACTTTCATACAATACGCCTTTTTGTTTGTTTGCCCTTTCACAATTATACACTCCCATTCAATATGAACAATTTCAACCAAAATTTGTTAAGCACACAATAATATGACCATCATGCGATTAGCCGGAAGAACGAAAAAGGCGCAACGGGTATTAAAGGAGCAAAAAAAAAAAAAAAAACAAAACAAACAGTACATGACGATATTAATGATAATTGGCGTACGCAATCTTTATACGTAATGTACAGTATATTTTTCCGAAATTACTATATCGTAGAATTAATGAGATGACCGAGTGATATCGCAGAAGATGGATGAGATGATTATTAATTGGTGATAAGAGTGAACAACGTACGCATGTACACATGGTACATTAGGGAAATGAACGATAGAAATCTCATAAATTAAAACCATGTTCCGAGAACGTTCTGAATTTGAGTGCTGTACACGTTCCGCTTGCCTTGGATCAAAATGCGTCCGAAAGTTCCAACGACTTCCGGAAAAAAATAAACAAACAATTGGAATGCATGAATGAATCCATCCTTTCTACCACCATTACCCACCACCGTTGCCACTCCTTGTGTTCTATTGTGCGCGTACATTTACATTTGCTTCAATGGTAGAAACCAGAAGATCCCTTTTTCTAGATAGACTCTTGGGCATCGAATGGATGGATGGATTTGATGTTACGTGCAAAAGTTACACGCATGCAAACACCCATTTACAAAAATAAACTGTTTGAAAAAAAAGAACAAACAATCGGAATTAAATAATAAACAAACAATCCTCCAAGTACGAGTGGTAGAAGAGGTCAGCCAGGATTTATTATTTTTTTTTTTTTCTCATACGCATATCAATGACCGTTATGTGATTGATTGATTGATGCACTGCAGGGGGGCTTTCAAAAGCAAATTGGCTTGCAGAAATTTAAAGATATTGTTATATGTGTCATTCAAGTACGTCCCAAACAAGTTCTGAAGAGTAATGATCGACGAAAGAGTTGAGTGAAGTGTGTGAACCACACACATAATATTCGTAAAAGTATATTGTTACCTTCCACGTTGTCACCTCTACCTATCACACACGCTGCATGCCGGGTGATGAGGTGACAGCGATTCGAGAGGTTGCGGGGTAAAAGAGTGAATGTCGGCCAGGACGCGGATCAGAGCCCGAAAGAAGAAAGATTATTTTGCGATATGATGGCGTAATATTTGCGATTAAAGAAACGATAATCCACTGCAGTCTGTTGATTTATCATCTTCAAACCTTCTTCTCTCAACTTAAAGATATTTATTTCAATGCGTGAATTACCAATTCGCCTTATTCTGCTATATTACGAACCCCCCAAAAAATTTACACATCCGCTCGCGATGCACAAAATTTACGAATCACACAAGGCTAAACAAAAAAGTGGAAAAGGACTTGACACGCCCGCGCAGTAATCAGGAATTATGTGTGGAAAACCCCTATTACTCAATCATTTAAAAGCCAACTAGTCATCTGATCTCCAGATTGGGATAAAAGAGATCGCAAAAGTTAATATTAAAAATGATGGTTTGTTTAAAATTCTTCATCCGGATAGTCTTGACGATAATTACACATGAAATCCCCACCACTCCCTCTTGAAACAGTTATTAATTATTAAGCATGAACCTAACCAATTAACGACATTCATTCAACAACGATAATAACGATCGACCGCTATTTGTGATGAAAAAGGCGTCATGTTTACTTTTTCCCTCTGCACAGTGTCAATAGTCACCTTCCCAAAAAGTTGATCCTTTTTTTTTTCAGCCAAACGTGAGAGAATTTGTTTTAAATAAAATAAAATTCAGTTTGATTTTGTTTGTAATGCTCCTCCCCCCTTTTTTTCATAAGGTTGTTTGTAGTACCCGACATCTTTCTGACAAACATCTTTTATCATTAAATATTATCACTATTGTTTTACCATTTTTCTTTTCTTTTTCCTTTCTCTTCTTTTCCTTTTTTTTCTTTTACAAACAACTTTTTTCGCAAAAGATATGGATTGTGGATTGTTTGTAGTGAACGGCGGGATCGGCATCACCCGATGACCTTTGTCAATCGGGTAGAAATGGGAGTGACGGGTAAATTCGTGACCAGATGGGTCATCAGCATATATAAAATAATTATCGAATTTCCAATGGAAATGACTTGTGATAAGCTATGGTCGTACCCGTACCTCTTTTTTCTTTTGAAGGCACGCATGTACATCAGATGTGTCGTGACATCTTTACCAAATGGAATATGTGACAATTCGTTCGTTCGTTCTTTGTTTTCTTTTTCTTGGAAGATGGGCTATGTCCTCGGTGTTTCTCGATTAGTCTAGCAAAACATTTTGGGGAATCATTGCACGATTTCACGCACATCTTAATTAGCTGGACTCCCACGCTAAAATCTTTTCTTTGTTAGCAGTGTTACCGAAACAAAACAAAATGTAATAACCGTAGTGGCACACGATATTAAAAGAAAGAAGATTTACCATTTTTCCATCATAGAATTTCCGAGAGAAAGAAATACAATCGACCATTTATTATTTTATTTATGCAGGGATTGGTGAGATGTGATACCGCAGGTGATATCTGGCATCGGAAGATGGATTTTTTTTACGGTGAGTACATGCAAATATTTTTTGTGTGGTGCATAAAAAACATCACATTGTTGTTGTTTGCAAAACAAAAAAACATTTTCGATTATATGCAGATCTTCTAGATGACAGATTAATTAAATGTCCCAACCTTTTTTTTTTTTTTGACCGACAGTTTTCACGTGATTTTCACGTGCAATCAGAGGAATGACGTCGTGAATAGTAGCCCTTCACAAAATAAAAACTTTCTCTTATTCGTGGTGAGAGACTTTATCACCATGCAAGTCGACGATACCCAACAACCCTTAAACTCTCGGAAGCCGGTGACACGTTCTCACAATTCGACAAAGTCGCCAACAGATGAACCCGATGAAAAAGGGATGGAGGTTCAAACGCACCACCTTTGGGTTGAACGTCAACGGTTGGAATTTCCCAAATACAAATTCTATCTTGACGATAGCATCAAAGGTAACGATCGAGGTCGAATCGGTCGAGCTATCAAGAACCTTGGTGCCGTAAGTTGAACAAGTCACGACAAAAAAAAACCAGCAAGGATCTATCCCACACCGGTGGTGACATACATCATTTTTCTTGTGATCACAGGTGGTGGAATTATTTTATGACATTGACAAGTTAACGCACATTGTGACCGCGAGGAAACCTGAGAAGGAAAGAGAGGAGGAGGTGAAGCGACGTATCCACGAGGATGCTGAAGTTAATCCGAGGACGACAGCGGAAGCGAAAGTCGCGCCCAACAAAAGACCATTCGGTTCACTCACGGCCAACGCTGCGAACGAATCACTCGGGAAGCGGATCAAACCTGACGACCGTGAAAGGTGAGGTGAGGTGAAACCTCTTTAGACATTGAATTGTGCATGTGCCCTAAATCTCGAAACATCTTTCCTTCAGATTGGCCATAAACGAACGACGGCAACTCTTTGGATCGCACAATGATAACGTTCGTTGATGAATATTGGACTTTTCAATTTACACTTTTTGTTTTGTCACGTGAAGTAATGACCCAATGTTCTACGTAGGCAACGATGGATAATGATGATGACATTGATCTTGCTTTTGCACGCAAGAACGGGATCAAGGTCTGGCACGTGGATAGTGAGTTCTTTTGAGATACTTGAAAGTTGGTGAAATTCTTTTTCCATGCGCGCGCGAGTAATCTGATCAAACACACACACAGAGTGCATGAATATCATCAATAAGCTATTGCCCAACACCGACAAAAGACGAGAAGAACATTACTACTCAATCTTTGTTGGAGACAGTGCAAATATCCGACGGCCCATCTGTTCAAGAAGATATATTGACGAAGCTCACTGCATAGATTTTCATCATGACCTTCCCGGGAACAAGTCACCATTCCAGAGCATGGCAAGTAGGAGAGAAATCCTCGAGCTCGTCGAAAAAAAGAACCCGGATGCCAACGAATCCACCACCGAAAGTTCCAAGGCCGAATCAAGGAAATATTGTGAAAATTGTGAAGTGAGGTTTGACAGTCTCGCGGAGGTAATCATAGATTTTCGAGTGTGGATAATTTTGCATTGCGCGAAAATGTCTCACTCACTCACATAATTCAAATAGCATCGTCAGTCCAAGGCACACGTATACCTCGCGAGATATTCTCAATATTTCAAGGAATTGGATGAACTGTTGAGGGAACTACGGTGAGTCCGATGTCCTTTCATGACACACTGTCACGGGAAATAACACCTACCAATTTGGAAACATCACCACATTAGTTAATCTCGTTGTAATCACCTTTGACCGGTCACCCATACACCTTGACCTATCACCCACCCAAATGTGGAACATTCGTCCGACATGATAATGATGAAAACGTGCTAGACGTAACCGAATGAAAAAAAATTAATTTTAATCACCGCCACCATGACACAGCATATCTCGATATCGTAATCACACATTTGTTTGATACACATGTATGATGAATGAATGTGAACTTACAACTATTGAACTGTAAACAAACAATATAATTTGAACAAACATCATACACGATACACAGTTCATGTGCAATATGGGGAAGCTCCGATAAATGTCCGCCCCGCTTTGACATCACACAAACCTTTTTACGCTAAAAATGGCATAAGATGCACTATTACGAAAAACTCTAAACAAATGATGTTAACGTGCACACACACACACGCACGCGCAGTACACACATAGGATTTGGTTAACGGTAGTCAAAAGAGGAACAACTACCTCAACACCATCAGCGTGATGATAGAGGGAAGAAAGAAAGAAAGAAAAAGAGAAAAAACAACCGCAGTGACAAGACACCGGTGTGAAAGAAATGATACATGAATAAGTATATCATCACCGATGGCATCTGTGATTGACTGTGATTGACACAACATATATAAAATTTTAACCTGAAAGAAACCCGAAAAAGTCAAATAAAATTTGTGTTTTGGGATCTGCAGTACAAGCTTCTGAGTGAGTGTTCAATGTGTATGAAATGTGCGTTTTCAAATTAGGCCTTTCACCACATTCATATCAATGTGCTGTTCATTTCTTTGTTGATAGAATTAGGAAGTCGGAGATGACAAGTTGTATGTGAGTGAAAAGATTATATTATTATCATGGGGGAAATCGCTGTTGTTTTTCTCAGAGGGCGTAAGAATGAAAATCAATCATGCAAATCCAAACGTAGTAGCATGAAAAAATTTAATTTACTCAATACAACAAACAGACCCATCGATAAGTTCAAACTATTTATTTATTTATTTATTTATTTATTTATTTTATTTGTGCACTCTTGACCCCGTGTGTCGATTTTCACATCACGCAACCTTTTTTGAGCATTTTTATGGAGATGTCCTGAACTTCTTTCATTGAACTATTTGTACCACATATGTGATAACATGACATAAAAACACTTGCTTTGTCTATAGGGATTCATGCAAGATTTACACTGTATACGGCATTTTTTACATTGTGTTTTTCTTGACCTTTACGTGATTAATTTTAGAGAAAGATGAACGCACGTCGGACCACACAGGCACCCATCGCCCTGTCGAGTGTCTGCAATAAGTGCAGAAATTTCCGGGCCGTTGCTATCCTCATGCATGACGAATAACGCATTTATTGCATAAAAAAAACCCGATTTTATTTTTGATTTTTTTTTATGTCGTGATGAGCTTTGGATAATCCTTTGAAATCCATCTATTGTGTCGTTTCCATGTGTTCGTGATTCATTCACTCACTCACTCACCCATTTACACTCTCACTCATTTATTCATTCATTTATTGATTTATTAATTAATTATTAATTAATTAATTAATTCATTGATTGATTGATTGATTGATTCATTCATTCATTCATTCATTCATCATTTAATTGTCCGTCTTTCCACAATGAACATATTGTCTCGGCCTTGTATAGGAGACATTTAATTTCACAAAATTACGGATAATCGATTATGATGCAAAGTGTAGAGAAAACATGCACACGCACGAGATGTAACAAGAAAAGAATAAAAAAAAAAAAAAAGAAAAGAAAGAAAACTTGACGGTGAGGTGGGGTGGTGGGGTGGTGTGGTGTGTGGAGGAAATTTCCTTAAACGCGAGTTATCAATCCTTTGGTATCACACGTACATACTGTATGTAGTGTGAAACTACAAGATACTTGGGTAGATGAGACGCGTGTGTACTAAGCATATTTTTTTGGATGTAATTTTGTTTGTTGATTACTTAATACATTCCTCACACCTCTATACGATACAATGGTGATACAATTAAATATACCGTGATACACTCTTTTTTCGCTCAATCTCCGCCTATCGAGCTAGACCTTTTTCTTCTTTTCTTTGTTAACGCGACTTCAGCCTGAAATTACGTACTCATGTAAATATTTATCTAATTAAAATGTTAGTACAGGTGGTCGCCTTCCGAAAGAAATTCATTAAAGGGATCATTCATCAATCAAACTAGTGTTGCGTGAAATGTTCTTTCCATAATACAAACTATACCTTTGACTAACTCATGTACCCAGGAGAATTACAAAAAAGTAAAGAACTTACCAAATGAGAACGAATTTATTTATTGACCCTGCGTTGACTATCACTGAACTCGCCAATCAACTGTTGTGTGTGTGTGTGTGTGGTAGTAGATAACGACAAAGCATTCATCCGAACATCGATGCTTAATTTAGTTTATCTCTTGCGACCAGAGAATAAGTCCACCGCACCGTTGTCGCCACGGATGGTTTAATTTACCGAAACCAGTCGTCCCGAATAAATGCTAGGCAACCCTGCGGAATTGACGTCTTGTCAACGCACTTTATACAACAGGTTGTTCAACCGGTAATGCCTTTTCATCGTAAACGAACTTACGTACACGCCAACCGCGCATGCATATGTGCGCCGGAAGAAAAAAGAAGAAGAAAGAAACCTTAAAACGAACACTGTTCAACCTTGCACTGTTACATCATCTCAATGGCACCTTACCGAATCTGGTCTAAATGGTGTGTTCGTTACGTCATCTGTTTGGTGACAGATAACGGTTGTTCGTACACCTGGTGTAATTTACACTTCTCATCACCACCAAACTCACCTTACTTTACCATTTATCCAAGTCACGTTTTCTCTTCGTGTTTGCCTTGCCGTTGATGCATTATAGAGACATTCCAGTTATGTTCCTATTTTGACGTTCCTTGTTTTTAAGAGAAAACGTTCCCCTTCTCATGACACTTCAGAACCGAACCAAAATTAATAAGGTGTATTATTTTTTTATTTTGGTTAATAATTAGATTTGTCATGCATATAGCTCGTATCAAAAAATTTCCCATTTAAATAACCGTAATGAACTTAAACACTTTACAAACAATTTCATACGTGGCATCAACAATCTACAGCCACCTACTTAATTTTATTTCTTTCTTATATTCATATATTAATTAATTACCAAATTTTATATACATCAATTGGATTTTATACATACTCGAATCATTCTATCAATCTATTTTTAACAAATAAAAAAAACAACAACTATAAATTATTATAAAAAATATAAAGATTTACAAAAATTTGTTACTTTCATAATTAATTAACTGATTTTCAATATTTAAAAACAATTAAATTACATAAAATTAAAACTTTTAAAAGCAAAAAAATTTTTATTTCTTTGTAATAAAGTCTATTCACTTATTTTGAAATAAATTTTTGTATTTCTATAAATAAATATAAAAGAATTCTATTAATCTCAATTTGATTTTGAATTTTAAATTGTATTAAAATTCTTAAAAAAATAATTGATTGATTAATATATAATAAATAATATAAACAAGATATATGATTTATATATATTTTATTTTATGTAGCAATAAATCTGATTTATAATGAAAAAAATAAATAACAAAACATTTGTTTTATTAAAAATAATTTGATACTTTATCTTTTTTTAAAAAATTATATTAAAACAATGGTTTAAATATAAATTGATTTGAATTTTTCAAAATTATAAAGTTTTAACATTTAATTTTAAAAAAAAAAAAACATTCTTATTTTTTACTATATTTAAAAATTTTAAAATAATTAATATTATATAGTAATAACTTTAATAAATCAAATCTATTATAATTAAATAACTAAATTATATAAACAATATAATAATTCTAATATTAGGAATTTATAAATTATATATAAATTTATAAATAAATTATTAACAAATATTGTTATAAAAATAATTTAATTTTAATATAATAATACTATATTATACTATTGTTTCTTATATACAAATTAATAATTATATTAATATATAATTGTAAAAGCATTAAAGTTAAAGCACATCAGGGAGAAAAGAACAACGAAGAGGCAGATAAATTGGCAAAAGAAGGAGCAGACAAAGGAGATGAAGCAATCACAACAGCCAACCCAAGAGCAGCGGCATGGGGAACACTAAATTGGAGAGGATATCAGCTAGATACAAACATCAAAGAATTCCTGAAAAACATGCAAAACACCAAATGGATGACGAACTGGATAACACAAAGAAGAAACAGAATATGGATTGAGTATAGAGACGAGCTACAAATAGATTGGCACTTTACCTGGGAAGCACAACACCAATCCAGAATAACG